TGTCGGTACCACCCTGTAGTGACTAGTCACGAATTGTTTGTAATACTGAAAATTATGGTTATAAATTATGTAACATAAGGACGATTATAAAAGTACTGAATATAAGAATATAAGCGAGGAATATCTCGAAGTTTTATTAGTCCTAGTAAGCACTAAGCACAACGGGCAACTACGTGCTTCAATGTGGGAAAAGCCGTGATAGAAAAAGAAAGAACATCCGTCGAGTCGTTTTCAAATGATACCCAATAGGAAATAACTATCTCGTTTATATAATAGTGCTATTTTAGCATTTTGGATGACATATCAAGTAGCAATTTGTGAAAAAAACATCCAAATTGCTATTGCTTATGACTTCATTCCAAACGCGCGAAAATGGCTGTTCATAAACAACAAAATCATTGAATACTTTTTAAAAAAGAAGTATAATTTATTATCAAATATATTAAAACATTCAGTTAGAATACGATGACATACTACACCAAATATATTATTTTAAAAGACTCTTCTCTTCAATCTAGTTATTATTATATGTCTTATCTTTGTCAATTTCACTTTATCAGATGACTGACAGCTTCACAATTTACCTATTTGCATTTTTCAATAAAATAACGCATATTATATTTATAATGTACTAGCATTGCCCGCGGCTCCGCCTGCGTTCAGATGACCAAAAACCAAATTCTTAGGTTTTACATAGTAGTATATTCTTACAATGCAGTTTTTGTATTTTATCTCAGAAATAAAATATTTTCCCGCGGTAAAAAGTATCCTATATAATGACCCGGATAACCAGCTATCACCATACCATATTTTATAAAAATCTGTCCAGTGGTTTTTCCGTGATGCGGTAACAGATAGACAGATAAAAATTCTCAAAACTATAGATTCGGCCTCTACATTGATAATTGCCTATGCCTATTTCAATAAGATTTTACAAAAAATATTTAATGTACAGATTCGGCTTAGTTACAATTTTATTATATGTATAGATTACCGCGACTATATATTATTTAAATACAGAAAACCAGTCGTTACACCATTAACTCAAAATTTCTATTTGCTAGCTGGTTATTATAAAATAATTTTGTTAACCCGTTGTGGTATTTTCAGGCTTTAGATAAACGCTGGGACAACGTCGTAACGCAATGACAATGTGGCAAATTATATAACGGGGAAGAATTTTGCCATTTTCTCCCGCCAGATGTCCCAATCACTATGATCCTCAGTATATTGTAAAGCTCTATCCATTATCTGATGACACGTTTGGCTCAGTTTGTAGTGACTACTTGTGTACCAAGGGTCGCGGGTTCGAGTCCCGCTGGGGGCATTCATTTGTGTGATGAGTATGAATGTTTGTACTCTAGTCATGGGTTGTTTATATTTGTAATATGTGTGTATTTAAAGTTATATACGTGTAGTGTATCAATTATGTGGTTTCCATAACACAAGCCTCGTTGGCTTACCATGGAACTGGACGGTGATGTGTGTTAATGTCCCAACATATTTTTTATTATTATTTATTGATCTATCCATGCTGAATGGATGTTTTTCATTTTATTTAAAATTTAGTTAAAATGACAAATTGTGCAGTGACAGGTTGCAAAGAAAATGCAATATCACTTGTTTCCAAAAGACAAAAAACTGAAGAAATTGTGGGCTAAAGCAATTTTAAGACGACCAAAATTCGCGATTTCATCATCATAATATGTGAACATCATTTTACAGAAAGCGATTTTAAAACTGTCTAATTGTCTACAGGTGAATATTTTTTTTTGTACTATTTTACTACTATTGGCACTTTTACAGATACACAAAATATAATCAGTCTACTACTGCTTAAATTGCAGATTCAACTTACAACGTCGACATTTAAGGAGAATGTGGTGCCGTCTGTTTTCCCTTGGTCTAAGGTTTTACCACCTTATGCAGTTGCTAGGGATATGATATAAGTGAACTATTTATTATTATTACTATTTACTGTTTATATCCTGAATTTGAATATCACTAAAACTTGAAGATTGTCGTTTGTTTATATCAAAAAGTTCAGAAAATTCTTGTGGAAAAAGCTCCTTTTTTCAGACTTCTATTTCGTAATCTTTCTTCCCTATATGACTAAACAGTTTGAAGAAACTACAGTAAATTTTCTAGTGAAAACTACCAAATAAAGGTATTTATTTTATTTATTTATTTATTCATTCATTCATTCATTCACTCATTCATTTATTTATTATAAAGGCTTACTAACTAAATTTACATAAAACATGTATTTAACATTATAATGTTACCTATTTGTATAAAAATTTAATTTAAAAATATGCACAGCTTTTTATAGAAGTATTCCATTAAAATTTTATGTGGTTACGTATAAGTATATAAGGAGCCATTTCAATTGTACAATAAACAAAAAAAAGAAAAAATCTAATCTAAATATTTAAATACACTTTCTTTTTAAATAAATTTAAACTATCAGAAAAAATGTCTTTATCACATTGCTGAAATATAAAATTATATAAAGGTATAAACTACATATTAGAAAAAATAAGGAACATTTCTATGTAAACTAAATTACACATTAAATTATTCATAGATAACACCGTGAAAATGATGTGGTCACTTCTATGCTAATTCCTAAACCATTTCAATAGGTACATCCGATTGTGATGAAAATTTGGTGAGTCTTTCCGCGTACTCAGGTGAAGGGTTAAAAAAAATGTTTTTTATATCAATACCTATTGGCCAGTTACTTCCATATGATCAAAATTTTCAGGAGACACTTAAAACTTTATAATATTTTTTGTACACTAGTATTTATAAAAAAATCTAAAATACCATAGGTAGATAATATCATAATACAATACTACTAAAATAACCCCACTGAATTACTGTTGCGTGCAATCTGATCATATTTTTTGATGAAATGTGGAGTTGATTGGTTTGCCAATTAAATTACCGATATGTTTGTCCTCTATGCGTTTTTAAACCATTCATTCCTAGTGACGTCCTGGACAAAGTCTTTAGCCTAAAAAATAGTCTAAGGAATTATTACTCCACTAGAGTTTTTTGAAAGTATGTACTATAAACATATAGTGATAATTAACCATCATAAAAGATATTATCATCTACAATTGGCAAATTTTTATCAATTTTCAAATCTACTTAAAATACATATCAACCTGCTTCGATCAATAGAAGGCTTGTCGAAATCATGTTATTGTTTATCAGTTTGTTATCATTTATCAAATGATAGCGCGTCACAAAGAGTTAAGTGTATGTGGCCTACGCACGCATACTGGCTGTTCAAGTGAAGTTATATTAGTGACGAGCGGTGTGATAACTAAAATTAAGTAAGTGGGTTACAAAATGATCATTTTTTTTAAATATAGAGTCGCCTGAATTCAAACAATAAAATATTAGTACCTAACTACTGTTTAAACTAGCAATTTCTAGCTATTAGAAAACTAATTTTAATAATCTTTTTGTGTAGAATCAGTTAATAAATGAATATATATGTACTATATTATTAGTAAAAATTTATATATATATATATATATATATATATATATATATAAATGACTTTGTACGTACTGTGATAGAGATAGTTCAACAATAATTGCAAATTGGAAACCGAGTTGACCTCTAGGAGCTTTTAGGCTGACTTGTACAAACACTCGTATTAAATTGCATGCTTCACCATAACTTATTATTGGTTTAACATAACAATGTATTCATAAATGACCAGCGACCCTAACGCTACTCAGGTGTCAAGTTACATATAAATAAGGTTACACATACGCTTTACGTTTTATGCAGGCTAATAAATTTTAAGTCTCATGCGCGGCTCATATATCACATATGTTGATGATACTAGATTGAGATCTTAAAGTGTGTACCCACCAAAATGGTTAGAAACACATACTGTGCACCAAATAGACATCCATACGTCTATTTTTATATGATAACTAGCTTTGCCCGCGGCTCTCTGTTTTACATTTTAGTATACTCTTAGATTGCAGTTTTTGTATTTTTTCTTAGAAATGAGATATTTTTCCGCGGTAAAAAGTATCCTATATGTTAACCCAGATGACCAGAGCTATCACCATACCAAATTTCATTAAAATCCCTGGAATGATTTTCCTGTGATGCGGTAACAGTGACAGTGACAGACAGACAAAAATTCTAAAAACTATAGAATTGGCCCCTGTATCGATAATAATGTTTATTTCAATAAGATTTTCCAAAAAATATTTAATGTACAGATTCGGTTTAGTTACAATTTTATTATATGTATAGATGTGACCTTACCATCCTCGCTTCTCGGCCACGGATGACAATATCACTGAGATCTATCTGGAAATATTATAGTGCACAAGTGTTCACGAAGACACAAGTGCACTCTCTATTCCTTTTCAGTCTCATAATCCGGTGGGACGATACTTTGATACGACCAACAAAGGACTAACGTCTTTATTTACGTGTTCTCCGAAGCATTCTGACACTCTGTAACTCTAACAACTCCGGGCTACTGAGAATTCTTTAACAGTATAACAATTACTAAACTTAAATAGATTCGAAACCAGCATGGATCTTTGGTAGCCACTAAACCACCGAGGCAGTTATATACATAATAAAATAAAATAAATATGTTAGGACATTAACACACAGCACCATCTAGTTCCATGGTAAGCTACGAGGCTTGTGTTATGGATACTAGGTAGTTGATACACTACACATATATAACTTTAAATATATACATATTATAAATATAAACACCCATGACTGGAGTACAAACATGCGTCATCACACAAATGAATGCCCCCAGCGGGACTCGAACCCGCGACTGCTGGCACAGTAAGTAAGGTCACTACAAACTGAGCCAAACGTGTCGTCATCTGTTTTTTTATACACAATTTTTGTGTACATTATTTGTTTTATTTTTTATTTTCAGGAATATTAACAACCAATAATATATGTATGTCCTAGTCGGTCAATAAAATATCAAAATGCTGGATTCATCAATTAGAGCTTTAGCGCCGTGCATCCAAAGTTTGCGCTTACACACATGGAAAGCGAACATAGAAAATATTGTGTTTAAGCTCCACTATAAAATGACAGTTACCATCCTACTTGCCTTTGTTATTTTAGTCTGCGCAAGAGAGTATTTTGGTGATCATATTAGGTGTATATCGGATCAAGGAGTCCCCGATCATGTCATACAAACCTATTGCTTCTTCATGGCAACATTCACAATAGTAAGTCTTATGCAATATTTGATTATGATAGATATGGCGCAGGTTATCGAGACAGACGCACTAGCAGTATATATATATTCTTACAATGTGATTGTAATGGTCTTTTGCAGCGTGCTTAAATAAGGTGTTTTACCTGTATTTCTGGTACACGAGTTTAATTCCTGTACAGAAAAATTATAAGTGTTTATCATATAAATTTTTTCATGTTAGGGTCTGCAGCTTAACCAATTTTTAGATTCAATATTGTAAGATGCGTCTCATTAACGCGGTTATACGATTAAAAGTCAAAATGGCTATTTTCAGGGGCTTAATAATTGTATGCATTTCTAATTTTAGGTTCGACATTACAATGAAAGCCTTCTCGAAGGTGGTTTTTTGCCGCATCCAGGAGTTGGTCCAGTCTTGGCGAGTGATGAAACTTTAAACCACACCTACTACCAATGGGTACCATTTGTGTTGTTTGTACAGATGATATGTTTCTATATGCCTCATTATATTTGGAAGAAAAAAGAAGGTTAGTGATTTATAAATGTGAGCAAATTCAACAGGAAATTAAGTTTTCCTTTATTGGAGTTTACTCCTTAAGAATTGATTTTCGTATAAGGCTCCCGACTTAGATTATTTATACATATTAATAATCTAAGGCCCCCGATATGGTTTATGAGGAGTGAAATGAATACTAGCGTTAACTGTAAAGCGTTACGTTTTTCTGCGCAACGTACTTACCTTGCGCACCTTTCTCTTTGAAATGTCACAGTGATTAATAATGACGAAAGTATTGATGTAATTAATATTCATATTAATAGTGAAGTCAAACAACCTTTCTAACGATGTTTTATCTATACATATGTATAATAAAAATCTAACTCATTCGAAACTGTACATTAAATACTTTTTTGGAAAATCTTATTGAGATAGTCGTTATTGTTGATATAGAGGTGAATCTTTAGTTTTTAGAATTTATGTCTGTCTGTGCATCTGTCTGTCTGTCCGTCTGTGAACGCAGGAATTGAATTCACTACATTACTGTCTATATTTTAAATGTAAAAAAAATAGCGAAGAGTCTGTTAATGTTACTTCATCGCGCTTAACAGGTTTTGGTACCTACTATATTTTGATTGACTATTTTTCGTCGTATCACACACAGTAATATATTTTTCGTGCCAAGAAAGTATTACACCCATAAATAAGTACTCTTGAAGCCTTGCACTCAAAATCACTAAAAATAAAACCAACACTCATAAAAGCACGGAAAAATGTTTGTGCTTAAAATTCAATACCTTTTTCTTCTGTTTGTGAACATGAAATTTTGCAGAAGTGTTCGTTATACAAGAATCCATCTTCTAAAAGGGGTCTAATTCGTATTATTAATAATCCGTATTATTAACAATTAATTAATAATATTATAAATGTGAAAGTTTGTGAATATGTGTGGATGTTTGTTACTCTTTCACGCCAGAACGGCTGAACGGATCTGGATGAAATTTGACACAGTGATAGATTATAAATGTGAAAATGTGTTTGTTTGTTTGTCCTTCGTTCATGTCGAAACGGAGTGACGGATTGGCGTGAATTTTTGTATGAAACCTACCTCTATAGAGATTTTTTGTAGTTTTAGCGCGAACGAAGCCGCGGGTTCTGCTAGTTGTATAGAAATTTGTATTGTCAATATTGATTAATATGAATCACAAGAGATTCATCGAATAGACGAATTCGCTATCTTATCTAAAATATTCAGGTTACTTAATAAGTCATAGTGACAATTTACATTTTTGCATTCCGTTATATTATATAGTGATTTTTTAAAATAATATGTTATTTTTCGATTTATTCTAAGGCAAAATATTTTAACTCATAGTTTTAAAAAAATGATATGTGGTAATGTTTAGACTACATCATGCCTATCTTTTACCGGTCATTCTTAATGTAACTTTTCTTCTCCATTCTACGCGACAGTGGTGAAGTAAATTGTGCCCAACTGGCACTCCTTAAACAATAGAATTGAATTGAATTTAGTGATTTATTATATAGGTATTTTTTATTCCGGTATATTAATTCCCGTTTTGTTAAAATCATAGAAAGAAAACTTCATAGATGAAGTTTTGACGTTTAGTATAGGTGTCTCAGAGATGAGATATTTTCTCGACGTAAAAGTATCCTATATGTTAACCCGGATAACCAGCTATAATCATACCAAATTTCATCAAAATCTGTCCAGTGGTTTGTCGTGATGCGCTCACAGACAGACAAACAGACAAAATTTCTAAAGATTAATAGATTCGGCCTCTGTATCGATAATCATGATTATTTAAATAAGATTTTCCAAAAAATATTTAATGTACAGATTTGACTCAGAATTTTATTATATGTATAGAGTTCTGTAGAGTGCGCAAAGAGTCACTGAAGGATACTCGTATGTTGATCGTTGTGTAGGCTGTAATTAGAGCCTGAGCGGGACGGGTATAGTTCAAAAATAAAATAAAAATAGTGAACTGAACCCCCTCCTATTTATGGTATACTAATGTAGTAGGTTTTTTTTGGACATATTATGCGATCATCCAACCATAGTTTAGAGAAACTTATTATCTTAGGCCAAATTGACGGTAAACGTGCACGGGGAAGGGCACCTATAAGGTGGTCGAACGCGATAAAGAAGGTAGTGGGCGCTACTCTCCATGCCGCAGTCCAGGCATCGCTGAACCGAACTGATTGGAAAAAGATCATATGTGGTCACGATCCTCATCAGTGAGGGAACGAGGACGAAGAAGAATGTAGTAGGTGAATTATTCAAGAAATTATTATTACTTTACAGGAGGAAGGATAAACGCTTTAGTACAAGGATTGCAGTATGCCAGTTTAGCCCTATCAGAAAATGATGTAGACGCTGGAAATGTGAAGGTGCCCTCTAGAGGAACTGTTGCGAGTAGAATCGATATTATCCAAAGGGATATAATTTTGAGGTACTAAATAAAATGTATAGTCATATTAATAATGTACATATGTAATATATGTATGTATATCAAACGAAGTTTAGCTTAGTGATTTTTTTCAAATCTGCGTTTTTTTTAAATTAAATATAAATAAATTATAAATATGTGTTGGGACATTTAGACAAAGCACCATCTAGTTCCATAGTAAGCTACGAGGCTTGTGTTATGGATACCAGATAGTTGATACACTACACATATATGTATAACTTTATATACATACGTCATACATATAATAAATATAAAAACCCATGACTGGAGTACAAACATTCATGCTCATCGCACAAATGAATGCCTCTAGCGGGACTCGTACCGACTGCTGGCACAGCAAGTAGGATTATTACAAACTGAGCCAAACGTGTCGTCAAAATTAAAGAGGAATTCAAATTTGTACGACAATCCGAAATTATGCTCATGTAAATCTTTCTGAGTATCTTTAAAAGTGATTTGATGAGGCACATCAAATACCAATAAACTCTTTCTTCATACAGGCTGAGGATAAGCAGGACCTGGTCGACATGGCTGGTCGCTATGGAGATCACAAACCTCGTTCACCTAATGTTCCAGATTTGGATGATTAACTTATTTTTGAAAGGAAATTTCATAAGTTTGGGAGCAAACGTACTACAATTTAAAAATTGGAATCTTATTGTAGATCCATTGGAAACCGTATTTCCGAAGGTAACTATTTTCTTAGTACTTTATTTCTTTGGACTCAGTGCATAACTTATATTTTTATAAAAAAAAATTCTGCACATTTTATACAATTTTTGTCGAATATGACACAGAAAGACTCCCATTTAATTTTTATTTGGTAGCATCAATCAGAATTCAACATTACTGGCAATTTTTTTTACAGGTGACAAAATGCACCTTCCATAAGTTTGGTCCGAGCGGATCCATACAACAGCATGATGCACTCTGCGTGATGGCACTCAATATTGTACATGAAAAGATCTACGTCGTATTGTGGTTCTGGTTTTTGTTCCTCTTCATAGCCTCTGTTCTTGGTGAGTATTTTTACTTTATTAAAGTTACTTTCGCCGTTGGATACTCTCGTATAGTTTATTTGTATATAATTACACCGCTTCTATAGATCTTAAATTGCTTCCTTAATATAAAAAAAAAACAAAAAGTTTAAATGTTTCGACATGAGTTTTCTTTGAAAGTAATTGCAGAGATTAATGCGTTTGAACAAATAAAACATGTTCAGCTTGTTTATTTAATATTATTAGCAATATATTTTTTATCTGTTTTAGCGGTACTCTGGCGTTTTGTTTCCTTCTTCCTCTACCGTCGTTCTCTTAAGTTCAACCAGCTAATGTTCCGACATGCATCGAGTGGAAAGTTCAATCCTTACAACGTGATACAAGTTGTCAACGGCTGCGAGTTCGGTGACTGGTTGTTCCTGTATTACTTAGGGAAAAACATGCAAGGCATGGTTTTCCAGTAAGTGTTATTTGATTTTGTTACTTAATTGAAAAAGCTTCAGGTAAAGTTAATTCAGGTAATTTCACGTCTTACTGCTCTATACCTTTTATTCAATTCGAGGGGGATCATTAAGAAGTCGATGCTGGCCGATTGCGATGCGCTGGTCTTCCGTAAACTAGTTACGTTGACTTGACTTACTCACTATAATTTTATCAACTGTAATGGCAAGAAAAATTAAAAAAAATATTGATTTACATAATATGTACCCATTTATCAAAATAGGATGGATGTTTGTTACTCAATCACGCCAGAACGGCTGAACGGATCTGGATGAAATTTAGCACAGAGATAGATTGTAGTCTGGAATAGCACATAAGTTACTTTTTATCCCAGAGAAATGTACGGTTTCCGTGGGATAGAATTGTTTTTGTTTTTCACTAGGGACGAACTCGAACGAAGCGAATAAGTCGCTATAATAAATAGTTCCAAAGCCTCTATACTAAGTAGACCCAACTTACGGGATACCCAAGTATCACATTGAAAGTATCACATTGAAAGTAATACACCGAAAACTATCACCGATATTTGATTAGAAGTAAATTGTTGTTAAATAATAGCATATCTCTTCTAATCTTTGAGTTTTTCCTTAATCTTTATTGTCATCGATGTAAAACATTTAGTACCTTAAAATTAAATACAATAGGTAATTGTGTTACAAGTGCACAGAGTATTATTGTTAAATACTCGTAGCACATAGTATTAAACTTTAAAGATTTAATTCTTATTCACAGACAACTCTTCGAGCGTCTAGCTGAAGAACTGCAGAAGCGTGATATGCCTTTCGACCAAGATGGAAATGAAGAAAAAGGAGCTGAACCAGTTCTGTTATCTAAAGTAGACATCACAGATGAAACACCCTTAAAATTAGATATGAAAGAAAAAGCTTTGTAATGAAATATAAAGCAATAGGTTATAATAAGAAACTAGGAGTGAAAATAAACTGTGATAGCAAACCTTGCTAGAATTTATAATTCTAATCAATTTAAGTTTCATTTGCTCAATTGCTTTTGGTAGTTTAATTAAGAGCTAAAAGCCTGTTAGAAAAGCCTAATAATATTATTCTATATAGAAAAAAGTATATAATTGGAAAACGTTTTAAATATGCATATCCATATATATTATCAGAAAAGGAACCAAGTTCGTCCTTATCATGAGCTTTTGTTTCTGTCGTGGCGGATGTGACGAATACACATCGTCACTTGAACCCCACTACTATTGTTACCATGTTTTTATAGTTTTGATTAATTTTGTGACATAATTTTGGACTGCGCTAAAATATTAATATAATTATTATATTATATAAAAAACTTTAAATTTTAACTGTTCTCTTCTAATAACTAATCAGAAGATTAGTCTATTAGTACCTACTCATAGTTTTAAAATAAAAAAGTACGCTTTGGATCAATTATTATGTATAGAACTTATTAAGACCAGAAATTGTAGGTTTTATTAGAAGCCATTGAAGAGTTCCAACATTTACTTTCTGGTTCCATCATCAGATGGTGTGTGATTGCACTGAACATGATTATAAAGTTTTAAATCGATACAATAGATAGAAGCAGGTTAAAATCGATTTTCAAGATATCATTACGTTGTTAGTTTTTGACACTTAAAAAAAGTTAAGTCAAAAATCTGAGGACCCCCCGACGAGTATGTATGAAGATAATGATAATAATGGAAGAATCGAAAGAGGTATGCAGAAATCGAGCGCTTGGCACTCTGTTCTCTCTGCCTACCCCGCAAGGGATATAGTTTTTTTTATTATATTCAGTGATAAAAAGCCTGATGGAAAGAGGTTCCTGTCGCCCATAACACCTACGGCCCCTGCATTTAGGTTTTATGTAACAAAAATGCGGAACCGCAGGTGCGTTGTCACCGTGAGGACTAAGATGATATGCCTCTTGCCTATAATTGCGCTGGTTGTCCTTCAAACCGGAACGCAACAATTCAATCATTGTTGCTAGGCGGGAGAAATAGATAAGGGGGTGGTACCCATCCAATTGGACTCCTCAGGCTTGACAGAGTCCTACCACCGGTTAAGTTTTATGTTAGTGTGATGTTCTGTGTGTGTTGGCGTGTGTATGTATGTATGTGTGTTCAATAACTAATAAAACATATTTAAATAGTGGAAGAAGAATTACTTAATAATATCTATGACAAACGTGCCTCTCTATTGATGATCATAAAACTTTATTTTTATTTATTTCACTTATTATGCATATAAGGTATAAGTACAATGTACATACAATGAAAATGTCTTGATTGTCTCATAAAGTAGATCAAAGAATGTATCGACGCGACGTTTATGGAACACCAATTGTGATAATTGTACCTATTGATTGGAAAAATGGCACCAATTTTCCATTTAAACACAGGATTTATGTTTTATTTTGTAGCTATATTGTGTACATACAGTATATAAATGTTAAGTCTTAAGTCTGTATGTCTAAGCACTATATATTTGGCATATTTTTCTCTGGCTCTCTAGTAACGGATTTAAATTTGTAAGATATAAACTTTTTTTGAGAATTTATTGAAGAATAGAAACAAGAAGAAGTCTGTTTATTTGCGTATGCTGCATGCATTTTCTGCGAAAAGTAGTAATGAAAATTATTTTAATTTGAATTTAATTTAATTTGAAATTAATTATGTTTTGTAAATCTAAATATTATGTAGTTTGAGATCCAGAAATAGCCAGTGAACTTAAATGAACAAGTCTGTAAAACACACGTAATAAAGCTTATTAAATATAAATTTATACGTAGTATTTATAATAGTGTCGAAATTCGACTATAAATCATAATCATTATTAAAAATTTGAGGGAAACATATATCTATATAAAAATCCGTTTTAAATTTTTTTATTGAAAACACTACAACTCGCTTATAGCTACTCAACAAAAAAAATAAACAAAGGAGATAAAAGGTGCTGAGCTTCTGTACTTTGCCTATTTGTATTCGTATCTATAAAATATAGATAATAGTTGGATAAATACAATAACAATAAGCTTTCATTCGGCAATACACTTGTTTTTAAAATCGAAGTTTGTCAGTTGAATGATTTTATTATAGTTCATATTTTGCTAATTATGTACATTCGCTTATTATTAATAATAAATAAAAAAAATAACAAATTAATATAATATATAATAAAGTTTTATTTTATCTTAAGTTCAGATTTCGTTCGGGAGATTCTCTATACATTGTAATGACATAAAAATGTTTTATTGGAATATTTATGTTAAACGCTCGGGTTCGTCCCTACTTACGTTTTAACACAGATCATAGTTTTAACGTTTAGTATAGATTTCTCAGAGATGAGATATTCGCAGTAAACCCGCAGAAAAAAGTATCCTATATGTTGACCCGAATAACCAGCTATCATGATACCAAATTTCATCAAAATCTCTCCAGTGGTTTTTCTGTAATGCGGTCACAGACAGACAGACCAACATTCTAAAAACAATAGATTCGGCCTCTGTATCGATAATAATGTCTATTTCAATACGATTTTCCAAAAACTATTTAATGTACTGATTCGGCTTAATTACAATTTTATTATTTATATGTATACATATAGATAAAATCGCAATTAAACGGCTGTTGACGAATAGTTGAGCTGTGTATTATTAATTACTAAGTAGTAAAAGTTTTAGTGCTTATTATTTGATAGCCATAGCGTTAAGACTGGAAATGGTTTGATGGAAATGAAATCTATGTATAGCCGTGGCTTTTAATTTTTATCTTTTATCTAATCACGCAGATTTTTATCAACTACAAATACTGCGTAAAGTAAAAAAAAGTCGTTAAGGACGCACCGAGGCAATTACGAAATAATTGCGTTCGTTTGATCCCTTGCTGTATTGTTATTACTAAAACTTTAATTATGTAATTAATATGTAGGATATTTTAGGATTTATTCTATAAATCGTACACTTTAGAAACACGATTAGTTGTAGTTTCCTCGATAGAAAAAAAAACCAAAATGAAGGAAATCAAGGAAGTTCATCAGGTTTATAATAATAACAAAACTATACGTTTTCTATAACGTATAGGTACACTTTATATTTTCAAAATGTCTATTTGTTTTAATAATACGAAAGAAATACCTAAATTCGCACGCATTCCGTCCATCCAAACTAAAGAAATCTTTTCCATTTTAATGGGGCACCGCAGGATCATTATACCAGGGTACAAAGGTAGAACACAACAACTTGTTCCAATACTGCTATCAGAGAAGTAGCAGGATTACTCAACACCTTTCAGTGGGTCTCTTAGCTTCACGTCGACTTCGATTGCCGGATGCTAATGACGTCCTGGGTACAAAATTCACTCACAAAGTCATTAATTTTTTTTTTGATAAGAAACTATCAGTAAATGCCTGTACTTATGAAATTGGTTGTGCTACACCTCCGTTCCTCGGAGAACACGTAAAGCCGTCATCTGTATAGTCGAATTATCGTCGCATCAGAATTGGAGCGTAAAAAGAAGTGACAGATTACTTATGTTGAGGCTAAGTAACTTCACGCTTGTGAGACAGGCTGACTCTTGGAACTACTTAGAATTCATAATTATATTTTTATAGTATTTCTAGTACTATCAAACTAATCTATATAAGCAAGATCGTAATACATCAGGCGTTGGTTTACGTGCAATGATATAATTCATCCCATAAGCGGGTTTACTCGCGAGTGTTGACCCTGCACATTGGTGGAGGTTGCGGGACGTCCTAGCCTATTTTCCTTATTCACGATTTATATTTATAGAACATACTATATTTTTTTTAAATTTATAATTAATAATACTCTTAATAATATTATTGTTTTACGATTATAATCGGTAACCTTATTATTTTTACATTTATTGGATTTTTTTTTATTTTAAATATTATAATTTATTATGAACTCTTTTTTAATTTTGGGCCATCTCACAAGTAAAACCAGGACTACCTGCTTAAACTCAACGGAACTGGATTGGCCTTAATAAAATAACTCTAATGACTGACCTTCCGAGTCAGATCTCTAGAGCAAAGTCAGCTACTTGGTCATCCATCTCTTGAACTCACCCAACCTAGGGATTAAAGGTATTTTTATTAAGGTTCTCTTATCTTTCTTCCTGTCAATAACAAGCTCTTATGGTCCATTATACCATCACAGAAGTACTTAGAGCAACTGTAAAAAACATAGTGTGGTGTATACACTATCCAACCCGTATATCTGAGGTCGACAGGCCTTTTAATGCCTTTGAATGCCTGCTATTAAGCGCCATCAGGAATTGGTAGACACAGATTTGGGGTGGTGATTAGTTTGTCTTAAATCAGAAATATCAATATTCTTCTTATGTAAAAATGCACCATATTCTATGTAGCAGGTATCAATATATTATAGTTGAAACAATAAACCCATTGTAATCAAATGCAAAATGACCAACAAAACACAACGAGCACCTCGACACTTCACTCAATATCTGTATTGCACCAACATTTGATGTTTACGCAAATGAAGTTGAAACGATCCAAAGGGCAGATTCGTGGTGAACATAAAAAAGGGGTAAAAATAATTATGACCACGTGTCATTTAGAAACGTCCCGAAGCCTACGAATGTACCTGGAATTTTGGCCGCACAGGTAGCGGGCGACTGGTTCTGTTTCCGATAGCATACTCAATAGCTAGCCATCACGGTATAAGCGATCGTAAATTCGTATGTAACTTGTACCTGAACAAATTTCTAATTTATACTTACTAGTTTTAGATCGTGGCTTCGCTTGCGTGATAGATACGTCAATAAATATTAGCCCATGTAATTCATGATGTAAATCTATCTCCTTCTAAATTTCGCTGAAATCTAGCTGTCTCTGAGTAAAGATGTAACAAACATACTCATTTACA